TAAACTGATTAGGTTTTTTATTAATCCAGCCATTTTACTTCTCTCTTGCACTGTCTCACACATGAACTTTTGTGGGACACCTCACATCTAAACCATAACACTACTTTTCTGATGGAGGATTAATATCCAGCATATATAAATAACTCAAAATACTTACTATCAAAAACCTCAGATAATCCAATTAATAAAAGGACTAAACAGACCCCTCTCCAAACAAGTAGTCAAAAAAAAAGCCAACAAATTTAGGAAATGATGTTCAACACTGTTAGCAATTCGGGAAATCATATCAAAACTACACTGTAGTTTCATCTTACTCCAGGTAGAATGGCAGCCATCAAGAATACAAACAAGAAATGTTGGAGAAGATGTAAAGAAAAAGAAGCACTTTCACATTGGGAGATTGTAAATTAATACAACCACTATGAAAATCAGTATGGAGGTTCCTCAAAAGTCTAGGAATGGAACATAGGCATACCTATGTTTATAGCAACACAATTTGCAATAGCAAAACTATGGAACCAGCCTAGCTATTCATCAGTGACTGAATGGATAAAGAAAGTATGGTCCACATACACAATGGAGGGTTTTTTTCACTTTTTAAAATTTGTTCTTCTTAAATATACATGACAGTAGAGTGTATTTTGACATATTATACGTACATGGAGCATAACTTATTCTAATTAGGATCCCATTCTTTGGTTGTACATGATGTGGAGTTTTACTGATAGTGTAATTCATATATGAACATAGGAAAGTTATGTCCAATTCACTCTATTATCTTTCCTATTCCTATCCCCCCTCTCTTCCCTTTATTCCCCTTTGTCTAATCTACCGAACTTCTATTCTTCCCTCCCCACATTCTTGGTAGATTAGCATCTGCATATTAGAAAGAACATTTGACTTTTTTGGGGGGRACTGTCTTATTTCTGTTAGCATGGCAGTCTCCAGGTCTATCCATCTAGCTGAAAATGGCATAATTTCATTGTTTTTTAAGGCTGAGTAATATTCCATATATATACATACTGGCTCCATTCCTTGAGGCTCAAGGTAAGGCAGAGAATCATATATATATGGAATAATAATATATATGGAATAATAATATATATGGAATAATAATATATATATGGAATATTACTCAGCCTTAAATAATATATCACATTTTCTCTATCCATTCATCGGTTGAAGGGCACTTAGGTCAGTTCCATAGCTTAGCTATTGTGAATTAAGCTGCTGTAAACATTAATGTGGCTGTGTCACTGTAGTAGGCTAAGTCCTTTGGGTACATACTGAGAAATGGGATAACTGAGTCAAATGATGGTTCCATTCCACGTTTTCTGAAGAATCCCTACACTATTTTCCAGAGCAAGTACACCAATTTGCAGTCCCACCATCAATGTATATGAGTGTACCTTTTTCCCCACATTCTTCTTATCAACATTTATTGTTACTTGTATTCTTGATAACTGCCATTCTGATTAGAATGAAATGAAATCTCAGTGTAGTTTTAATTTTTATTTCTCTAACTGCTAGAGATGTTGAACTTTTTTTATATATATATTTTTGGCCATTTGTATTTCTTCTGTGAAGTGCCTGTTCAGTTCCTTTGCCCATTCTATTGATTGGGTTATTTGGTTTTTTGGTGTTAAGTTTCTTGAGTTCTTTATATATCTTGGAGATTAATGCTTTATCTAGGGTGCAGGTGGCAAAGATTTTGTCCCATCCTATAAGCTCTTTTTTCACATTCTTGATTATTTCCTTTGTTATGAAGAAGCTTTTTCATTTGATACCATCCCATTTGTTGATTCTTGATTTTACTTCTTGCCCTTTAGGAGTCTTGTTGAGGAATTCAGTTCCTAACCTGATGRAAATTTTGGCCTACATTTTCTTCTCGCAGGCACAGGGTCTCTGGTCTAATGCCTACAACCTTGATCCACTTTGAGTTGAATTTTGTGCAGAGAGAGAGATAAGGGTTAAATTTCATTCTRCTACATGTGGATTTCCAGTTTTCCCAGCACAATTTGTTGATGAGGCTATCTTTTTCTCCAATGTATGTTTACGGGGACTTTGTCTAGTACAAGATAACTGTAATTTTATGGGTTTTCTCTGTGTCTTCTATTCTGTTCCATTGGTCTTCATTTCTGTTTTGGTACCAATGCCATGCTGCTTTTGTTAATATAGCTCTCTGTATAATTTAAGTTCTGGTACACAATGGAGTTTAGCCATAAATAAGAATGAAATTATGTCATTTGCAGGAAAATGATGGAACTTGGGAACATTATGTTAAGTGAAATAAGCCAAACTCAGAAAGTCTCTCAAATGTGGAAGCTAAAGAGAAAAAAGGAAAAGACAGCCTAGGAGGGATCTCATGAATATTGAAGGGAGATCAGTAGACTAGAAGGAAGGGACGAAGTAAAGGGAGGAGGGGAAAGAAAGTAGAAATCTAAGGGGTGATACCAGCCAAATTATATGGTTATACTGTGTACATGTATGAATATTATGTACTCAACGTTATGTACAACTATATGCATAAAAATGGATAAAAATTTATTTTCCATTGTAATATGTGATTTATTTGCTCAAGTTATGGATGAATATTGATTATTAACAAAATCCTCCAGAAAGATGGCTTTTTGTTAGGAAAACAAAAGATGAAAAGCAGCACAGATTTCCATGAAGCAGCACCCACTGGCTGCGCAGCGCCTTCTTACTACCTTACTACCTATTTGTTCTCTGGTGAGGAGAAACCTATGGGAATCAGCCTCATTCCAAAGGGAACCTTTGGCTTTTTCGTGCCCCTCCAATGCTAGGCATTAAACTCAGAGCCTGGTGCATGCCAGATAAACACTCTACACTGAGCAATGTCCCAAGCCTAACAATTTTATCTTCTTAGTAAAGACCAAAATAGAAAAAATAACCACTCGCTTTTTTGTTTTTTAAATTCGAAAATCCAGGTAGAGGAAAAACTCACAAATATTATACTTTAACAGTGACTGGCAATTCAGACTTTCTCCAGAACATCCTGGTGAAAATACCTTACTATATTTCCCTAGTTCTATGACAAGACAATATAGTTTAACTGTCACTCTTTCTGCCCACCACTTCCTTAATTATGTGACTTTGAGCAAGTTACTTAACCATTCTGTCCACCAACTTCCTCATCTGTAAAATGAGAATAATTAAATCTATCTCAAAGGCTCACATGAGGATTAATTACTCATGCAGATATAAAGGACATATAATACCAGGTATTAACCATAATGAACACCACTAAACAATTGTGATTCTGATGCTATTCTTACTGCACCTGTGATCCCCTTCTAACAGCTTTTATGAGGAAGGTTATATATCCACACTGTGATTGCTTCCAGAGATTTTCTCTTGACTAATATGTACATGTGGTGACAGCAGAGGCTCTGGTCCTCCCCAAAGTTATGATGAAATAACCACTTTTTTCACTTTCAAAGTGAAGGTCATCCTTCCATCTGTTGCCTTCACAATACTGTCACCATAACTGTCTCAAGTTGGCCTTCATTCTCTCACCCACAGATGTCCTAAAACTCTGTCAATCTATGAAGACGTCAATTAGCCTCAGGACATTTTGATGACAGAATTGCAATGACTTTGGCTGATTCCTAATCTGAGACGCTGGGGCCTCTCAGGCTTGTGAGCAGTATCCATGTTCCCTTCTTTAGAGTAATATTATGTTCAGCATTTACACTTCTAATCATGTTTTAGAATTTTTTTAACTTCTATATAAAATCACATACAAAAGCCAGACTCATTAAATGTAGAGTTGCCTATGAATCAAGAGAACTGACCGGTTAATTAACCATCCCCTGTGTGATCTCAGACACTCATAAATTTGCAAGCCTTTCCTGAAAATTATAGGTCTGGCCACTCGGTTAATCCCTTGGTTCTTTATCCTGGACTGACTAAATGGCTTGATTTACCCATATCTAAATACAAAAAAAAAAAAAAAAATTAAAGTATTGTTCAGCAAAGAAAAAGAAAAAATCTTCAGATTTAATTCAGGCAAGCAGGGAGTAAATAGGGTACCATACCCACTCTTCTTCTAGTCATCCCTTGCCTGTACCTCCATGTCCTGAATTTCCAAAATAAATATCTTCATTAATATCTACCCATGTCATACTCTTTAATTTGGCTTCTTCCTAACTAGCAATTATCATAAATATCTACTATTAGAACCTGATTAGTAAATTTAATCCCTTCATTTTAAGGGCAAACACAATAGGACCAATTGATTGTGACTTACCCCAAATCACCCATAATTTCCTTCTCATGAGATAAGTGGAGGAAATATTTTTCTGCTAGTTTTTCAATGAGAATGTAAGTGACTTCCAGATATCCCAGAAAATAACAGGGACAGAACCAGAATTCCTGGCTCCTTTATGGCTATAATAAGATAAATATATGTAAGCATTACAAGTTATTTTAAAATAAAGCCCCTTAAAGGTAGAATATCTTTGCTTGCTTTATTCACTAAAGTATCCCAAGTGCTAAGAAAATGGCCTGGTACAGAGCAGGCCTTTACCAAATGTTTGCTGTGTGAATGCATGTCATGAAAACATCACTATCAATTTATGTTCTAATTGTAACTACCACCTTGGTTTCTACACTCATAAGAAAGGACACTGYTCACTATAAATCTCTCCTATCCAGTTACTAATTAAGTTACATAAGACCCACATAAATGTTTATATTCTTATTGAAGAGGTGATGGAGAGTCAAGTTACATTTTTCCCAAAACATGTAGCTCATACGTATTCAAGTAAGAAAAACAAAGAATTACAAATGGACACTAGCACTGGTGTTGGTTTGTGTTGCTGCTGCTTTTAGTTTCACTTTTATAACAATAAATAATGACACCCATCATTATCTTATCCCGACAAAACAAACAATAACAAAACCAGGCAACTAAGACCAAGGATTTAAGAATCAGCAAAGTAAATCAGGTAACGTTTAATTTTGTCTTTGCTCACTTTTTGTTAATATTTGAAGATCTTCAACAGATGGTGGTCCATTGTTTTTCTCATAGGGAATGACTGTTGTCAAATACTGCCAAGTCAAAAAAGAAAAAAAAATCATAAATCTGAATTAACTTGCCTGCAGAAAAAAAAAATGACACAGTTAACATCTATTTTGCAACACAAAACAAAACATAAGCTCAACACACGCATTATCTTTCAGCTGGAGCTCATATATTTGCCTACCTCTGCTTCCTACAAGTCCATATTAACAAAAATAACCAGTTTTTTGCATTTCAGTTATTGAAAATTTCACAGGACTAGGTCTGAGGATGATTCACTCAGTTTGTTAATTTTTAAAATGAAGTATTATCTAACATTGTTCCTGCATGTTTTTCAACACATTTTAAAATAGTAAAGGAAAACATAGTTTTAACAACTCTGCACAGAAAAATAATTTTCAACAGCCAAATAATTCTGTTTCAGATCATTCTTATTCTTGCTGAACAAAATAGTTAACATGAATAACATGTCAACTTAAAAAACAACCACCTTCTTCCTTCCAGAATCTACCAAAGACATACCCAAAGAATTTCTGCAGCATATTATTACTAAATTATTGTGTAAGTAATTATAAATATTTTTAGATATTAAAGGTGATGAGAAAAGCAAAAGGAGAGAATGGTCTAAGCAGGGAAATGAATAATAAAAATTAATGTCTGAATGAGACAAAGTGCTTAGTTCACTACCTGAAAAATTTACAAGTATCAAGTTATATTCTAAAACTATATCCACTGAGAGCATAATCTGAATATGACTGTCCAGATTCTCCTATTATGACCACCCCACCACATGTATATATGGTTCAGTGCCATTTGCATAAGCTAATGTAGAAAGCTAGGGGTGTGTACTTGGAATCTCTTTAGCCCCACCCATTAGTTAGCCTCATGCCCTAAATCTCAGCCCTACTCCTAATCCTTACTTAATTGATAAAACTGAAAATAAGATCAAAAATTTGATTAACAATGACTAGACCCTGAAGTCCAGAAACATAATAAAAATGAATTGTTCAATCTTTAAGAAACTTAGTACTCCACATTTCCTGAACAGACTTCTTCAAGGTGAGGCCCACCTAAATAAGCAAATATGTGTCTTTGTAAAGAACACACAAAAGGCCAGAAATGCACCTTCCTAGGGCTTCACTGGCAATACATGTGTCAAGCATCTTGGAGAAGCCTGGGGAACCTGTGCCTCAGTTGTCGGCTGGCTGGCTATGCTTCCAGGCCTCTTGCCCCACTCCCATGTATTGGGTTGGTCTGGAAACTATTTCTCCTTTTTGTGAGCTTCGGGAAGTGGGAGGCATCAGAATAAAAATAAAAATTCAACTGTCCCTTCTCTTTATGAGTTGCAAATGTCCATGTGAACCTGCCCTCTTTAATATGGATTAGCTTACATCTTAAGTAACACACAGGAACCTTTGGTGAAAACTCTAGGCAATTTGATTCTTTGGAGAAATTGCCTACAAGCCACATTCTGCCTACCTTCTTAACCTTTGCTCAAGAGCTAACTTTAAAAAGTTCTTTTGAAGTGAAAATTTCAAATGGTAAAAGATAATTTTAAGCACACTCATTAATATAAACTATTTCTCATGTTTGTGATGGTCCTTTCAATCAAATATAATGTGAATAAAAAGCAAATTGCTACACATTTGACTGGATAGTCATACAATGTATAATTCTGTATAAATGATGTCGAATGCCTCACGACCAACAAGTGAATTGGCTGACTATATAACACCTTAAAAAAACACATACATTTTATTTAAGAGGTAAAATATGCTTTCTACACTTCCCCCCCCCAAAAAAAACTTATTTCCCCACCAAAATAAGATCTTGTTTCTTAAATATTTTGAATTAGTGCATCATATTCTAGTTTTGTTATATTCACAGTCAGGGTTTTCTACACATGCAATTCATTATGTCAATACATTAATATCTATTTGTTTAGAGACAGAAGTGAGAAATGGAGCTCTGATGCATGTTTTCAGAATGCACTTGGTCTATTTTTAATTTGGAAAGTGCTTTTTCCCTCAAGGGAAATTCTGTTCATTATCAAGACTGTACATATAATGAACTTTTATTTCTCTCTTTTAAGCAATGGTCTTAGTAAATTAGTAAAACTGCCAGCTTTCATGATCTTCACTTACACAAAAAAATGAAAAAGCAGAGAATGAGGAAAATAAGGATAACCAAGCACCTGTTTCTCTCCACCTGAATTTCCAAAGGTGTGGCGGAAGCCATTCTGAATGACATTTGAGATCCCTTCCATGCTGAAGCGCTAAAGGCGGCAATATAAGGCCAGGAAGAAAAGGACAGAGAAAGAAGTTCAGAGACTATTAGTAGTGTACCATGATGATTTATGTGACCAAGAGACAAGCAGTTAGAAAATGCCACTACTCATTCAGATAAAGCAGACAAAATCATGCTGTCTTTAAAACGTTTTTGCTTCCATTCCTTTGTAAGTCCAACCCAGAAGCAACTGTTTTTATGCTACTATATTATGAAGATTTTTGCTGACATAGCCAATAAATACATTTGTTTTAATACAAACATTGTCATATTTGCTTGACACACAATTTGCCATGTAATTTGAAGATACCTTTTGATATTGTTTACCTACATTTTATCAAAAGTCTAAAAACTTAATATTAAGAGTATGCATATTTTCAGCTTAAGTTTGTATATTTCCACCATCAGTTTGGAGAACACTAACCTAACATTTGGCAAATGAAAATGCTTTTACTTTGGAGAGTTGATTATTGCTTCCCACTCACTCTGTAGGCACCTGTCATTGCCTTCATGAAGAAAATGTGAATTGGAAGATGGCACATGCTTCCTGGGGAGCAGAGTGGATCCATTTGCTAGCTGGGCCCCCAAAAATTTCTGCRGAGACTTTCCACTCCGTTTCTAGGAAACAGTTCTAGTTTCTTTCTCCCAGCAACTGCCAAGACTTCCTAGAATTCACTGGACTGAAAAGGGAATATTTTTTTTTTCCTAAACTACTTATCTTGATTTGTAACCAGTCTACAATGTCAAAAGGCTCAGTGAAAAGAGTCCAGTGGCACCTCAATGGCAGCCGAGTCAAAGACCTTAGATGGATTCTTGCAGCATGACTAATGGAGGGGAAAGGCACCGTGAAAGGAAGCTACAGCCTGATTCACCCATGACTCCTTTCCCTGGAATTTTATAAGGGGAAGTCGAACCAGTAAACACATTTAAGGAGTCAACATAAAGACTATTTCACCAAGCCCCAAGGAGTAGAAGAAAGGAAACCAAGGTAGTCTCTCTATCTTCAACAAATATATAGTTCCAGGGATTTTCCAAGTGTGGCCCAGGGACACCCAGCRCAGCCCCTGAAATTCTCTCAAGAGTTCATGAACTCAAAATTATTTTCTTAATATTACCAAGATAAAACTGATCTTCATCACCCTTTATCTCTCATGATTTAGAGTGAAATATTCCAAATGACAGATTGAATGCAGAAACAGATTGAGAATCTAGTTGCCTTTAATCAAGCCAGACATTAATAAGATTGACAAAAATGTACAGGAATGACATTTTTCTCACTATTTTTTTAAATAGTAATCTTAATTAAAATATGCTATTTATATAATAATTTATTGTTGGTATCCTCAACTAATATTTTAAAAAATTTTTAATTATAATTTCTAATACAGTAAGTATTGAAAAATATAACACATATAAGCTGAGCTTTCTGGGGTCCTCAATAAATTTTAAGAGTTTAAATAAGTCCTAACAGCAAAAAGCTAATAAATGCCAAAAAACTGAGTGCTTGCTGTACCTCTGTGTCATTCACACCACTCAGTGGTATTGTTGGAAATCTGTGAGCCACACTTGCCCCACTTGTGAGAGCTCACATACTTCACTTCTCTTCCTTCACCATCCTTCTCCCTACCCAGTCCTTCCCAGGTCTGAATCTGCGCACCAGTTTTGTTTTAGCAAGAATCAAATGTCTGGTCAAGATACTTTGACCACTCTTCACTTTTGATGGAAAGAGCTAGTTTTACACAAAACAAAATAAAACAAAAATATACATAACTATTTTTATAGATTTTCCACATGCTATTATATAATTTGTTCACACTTTTTAAAACAAATTATCCAAAGAATTAACATCATAGTCTCTCTAGTCTGCTATAAAAATTTAGGAAACTATTTTCAAATAAACAAGTCAGTACTTTTTTTAAAAAAATGCTTTCATCAAATATATTTCCTTTGAAAAGCAACAAACAGAAAAATACTTAATTTTAGTCTACATTACCTGGTTCCAATATTTATGGGCATGTTAAAAGCTATACACAAATTCACACAATCTCCACCAAAGTGAAAAATTTTAGAATTCACATGTTAAGAAACTAAGGTATACTTTTATATTTGGACAGCACACTACAAAAATGGTAATTTACTTTACCATTCAGACACCTAATTGTTTAAATTCATAAGACGCATATGTGATTTAGGTTTTCCTCATTAAATACTCAATTGTGGACACTGTTGAACCATTTCAACTACTAGAAACCCAGCAACTTATGAAAGGTGTCTTTCATGCAACGAGAACTTGAGGCTGAGTAGAAATAAGTGGAAATATATTCATGGGAGACCATGGCAACCTTGAAAAATACAAAACTACCAACTGATGCTGGTGAAGAAAGTGCAAGGCAAGGCCTCTCAGCAGCTCCACCRATGGTGCCAAGTCAGCAGCTGCAGCCAACCAGGCCCATGGGCTCCTGACCTGTCATCAGCCACCAGATGAATCAGGGCAGCAGTGGGGCAGCCAGCAAAGTTTAACTGCTTCTTGTTCCACTGGGAGAATTACAGAACAAGAAAATTAGAAGTTTCTGAGGGTTGTGGGGAGGACAACTAACAGATATGGCTGGAAACTTTCCTCTACGAAATGCTCCAGTTGCCATGAGTTCCTGCCTCCCCAGAAACCATGCAGTAACAATTTTCTCCCTTTACTGCATTCTAAAATTCTCTCTCTCTACTGGCTCTTTCCCAATGGCAACTTTACATTCTCAAATCCTCAACCTACTTCCTCTCCCCAGAGTTTCCTGAAACAGCTCTTCCCACTGTCATTTCTTTGACACTCAAGTCCACTTGAGACCTCTCTAAGACATCAGGAATGCCCGCTCCCTGACCTTCCTTCTCTCTGGATGCTCAATAACATACTCTCCTGGATTTCTCCCTGCCCTGGCCCTCTAGCTGCTGCTTCTCAGGGATGCTTTTCTTGTTACTCATATCTTACAGGTCAGAGTTCCCCAGGACTCTTCCCTATTTTTTTCTCTCATGCACACTACCATTCAATAGTTTCAGTGTGCCTCCATTAATCCACAGCTCCATTTTCCTAAGACTAGCAAAGTGCTTAGAACAGGACTGGTATCTGGTAAGGGCTCAGTAAATATTCACAATCTTTACTGTCCTTCCCCCTAAGCTTTTGATTTGCATGTTCGACATCCAATTGGATATCTGTACATATTATATGTTAAATTTGTATTTATTAAATGTTTAATGGCCCACTGGATATGTCTATATTCCTGTATTTCTAAAATTTATGTCCAAAACTGAATTCATCCTCCTCTTCCATACCAAAAAAGAACCTGTTTGTCCTTCAGCATCCTATACCTCTCTTACTCATTTACTCATTCTTTCAATATACTGAGTGAGATACTATTCCAGGTAAGAGGGATGCAAAGTGAACATACCAGCTAAGGCCCYGCTGACCTAATATTCCTATGTATTGGAGGTAAAGAAAGTAAAACAAATAAATGAACTAGATGACTGCAAATAACACGTGCCCTGGCAATACCTCAAAGAGTGCAATTAAAAACTGGATGAATACTTTATACCAGGAAGTCTTACTTAATAAGATTGACAAAATGTACAGCAATGACATTTTTGGAAGGAAGTCAGAGAAAAGCTCTCTGAGGAGGTGACACCATCCCAGATGAGACACAGCAAACAATGGATAAAGGAGATCCTCTTGGATAACCAAAAGCAGCCAAACTGGCCTGCCACAGAGCTCACTCTGCTACCTGTCCACAGGAGTCTTGCTGCTTTTATCCAGCAGGCTGTAAAGGTAACTATCAGTGAGTCCATGCCATGCTTCTGCCAATGGGTTTCTACTGCACCAACCCGCTCCTCTCCCCTGCTTTGTTTGCAGGGTGTGCTGGAATGGCTAGCTTTACCTCTGGATCACAGGGGCTTTACCCAGAGCTGATGGAAAGGAGGACAACTCTCAAAGATACTGAACTTGAGGCTAAATCCAATCACTGTTGAGGAAACCTACGCACCTTCCTTGGAKAAGGGGGCCAGATACTTCAGATCTCTCTGTGAGATATCCAGGATTGTGGACACCATGTTCTCCCACATGTTTTACCTATGCTTACCCAAGTCAATGGTTAACTACGTCCCTAATTTCCCCTTCCCCTGGTGTCCCAACCAACCATTCAACCTCATCATTACCTTGGAAAGACTACCATTTTTCCATCCCTACTGTGAATTCCTTGGTCAATTCTTACCTGAATGATCACAACAGTCTCCTAATCAACTCCTTATCTCTAGCTGAGTCCTTCCAACTAGTTCTCCCTGAAACTTCTGAAGTCCCACTGCCAAAAGACAGATCTCAACATGTAACTACCCTACTTAAAACCCCTTTTTTGTTTCCTCTAGTCTTTAATAAAGGCCAAAGCCTTAGAAATGCCACACAAACCATCTATATGCTGGCTTCCAGTTTTCAACTTCTGTAGCATTTTCATGAGTCACCTCCTCCCTCATCTTCCAGATTTCTCCCCTATTTCTAGCTCCAGTCATAATCAATGATATGTAGTCCCCCAGATGTCCCTAACTGGCACTTCCAGGTGGCTGCACACACCACTCCCTCTGTTCTCTTTCTGCTTGTCCCCTCCTTGTTACACCTGTTCTTGGGATTCAACTCAGCTACTCCAGACCCCTAAAACAAGTGATGACAGAGTGATACATGCACACCTCTGCCACAGAACAGTGCCAGATACAGAAAACACTAAAAACCAGTAGCAGTTTGGAGTACAGCAATTTTCACACTACACTTGGTTTTTCAACCTTGATACTACTGACACCTTAAACTAGAATAGTTCTTTGTGGTAGGGGCAGATCTGTGAGTTGCAGAATGTCCACCAGTATGTCTGGCCTCTACTCACCAAGGTATCAGTGCCACTGTCCCCCAACTTCCCCACCTCGCTCAGCTGTGATAATGATAAATGTTTTCAAACACTGACTGAT